TCACAGGCCAGGTTGTTTATGGGTCCAGCCCTGCAGACACAGGTTTCAGCTTCTCCGGACCACCGTGACCTTGGGGGGAGGGAAACCAGAGATAAGGGCATGAGGTCATTTTAGGAGCCAAGAAGTACCAGGAGAATGCAGCCTGTGATGGCGGCGTCACAGCATACTTTAAGATTATCAGTTCCCTAACACTAAGTACTTAATTTTTTTGATGCTATTTTAAATGGTATTATTTTCCTAATTTTTTTTTTTAGTGAGTTCATTATTAGTGTACAGGAGCATTGTTGATTTTTGCGTGTTGATTTTGTATCCTGGTACATTGCTGAATTTGGTTATTGATTCTAGGAGTTTTTTGGTGGAATATTTTGATCTTATACCTAGAGAATCATGTCATCTGCAAACAATGATACTTTTATTTCATCCTTTTCTATATAAAACACAACTTTTATTTCTTTCTTTTGCCTGATTGCTCTGGCTAATGTTTTGAGGACTATGTTGAATGGGAGTGGTGAAAGTGGGCATTCTTCTCTTGTTCCTGATTTTAGAGGGAAAGCTTTCAGTTTTCTCTCATTTAATATAATGTTGGTGTTGGTTTATCATAAATGGCTTTTGCCAGATTGAGATAAGGTCCTTCTGTACCTATTTCCTTCGGGATTCTTATCATGAATAGATGTTGGATTTTGTCCAAGGCCTTTTCTGTATCTATTGAGATGATCATGTGATTTTTGTCCTTGTTTCTGTTCATGTAAGAATTACATAATTGAATATTGATTTGTTTATGTTGAACCATCCTTTACCCTTGGATGAAGCTTTGCTGTTTTGGTATATGACCTTTTTGATGATTTGTCGCATTCTGTTTGCCAGTACCATGTTGAAGAATTTTGCATCTATGTTCATTAGAAAAATTAGCCTGTAGCTCTCTTTGTTGGTTGGATTTTTGTCTGGTTTGGGGTTCAGGGTAATGCTAACTTCTAGGAATGATTTTGGAAATACTCTTTTCCTCTCAATTTCATTAAAGAGTTTGAGTAGTATTCCACAGTATTAAGCAGTGAATCCACCAGGTCCTGAGCTTTTCTTAGTTGGTGGTTTTGTTTTTCTTTTGAATTACTGCTTTAATTTCACTGCCTGTTATTGGTTTGTTCAAGATTTTTAAATCTTCTTAGTTTAGTTTTGGTAGTTTATATGTATCTAGGAGTCTCTTCATGTTTTTGAGTTTTCCATTTTTTTGCATATAGGTCTGTGAAATAGTTGCTAGTAATTTTCTGGATTTTGATGGTGTCTGTTGTGAAACACTTCATTTCTAATTGCTTTGATTTGTGTCTGTCATTTTTTGGGTAAGATTGGTTAATGGTTTGTCTAATTTGTTTATTCTTTCAAAGAAGAAGATCTTTGATTCATTGAATCTTCTGTTGTTTTTTATGTCTCCATTTCATTCTGGATTTGGATTGTTCTTGTTTTTCTAAGCTCTTGAGATGCATCGTTAGGTTATTTATTTGGGCTTGTTCTGTTTTTCTGGTGTAGGCATTCACAGTTATAAACTTCCCTCATAGGACCGCATTCATTATGTTACATAGGTTCCGGTGTGCTGTACTGCTGTTATCTTTTGAGTGTAGGAACAGTCTTTTTCTTCCTCAATGACCCATTGATTATTCAAGTCTGTGTTTGCATATGTTTGCATAGTTTCTATGGTTTCTTTTGCTATTGATTTCTAATTTCATTTCCCTGTGATTTCACAATATGCATGGTAAAATTTCAATTCTTTTGCATTTTTTTAAAGTATGCTTTTAGCTAGTATATTGTCTATTTTGGAGAAAGTACTATGTGCTGCTGAAAAGAATGTGTATTGTGTTGTTGGCCAGAACACTGTATATTAACTATTAAGTCCATTTGTTCAGAGGTTTGGTTCAACTCTAATATTTCTTCATTAATTTTTAATTTAGTCTTTATATCAGGTTTCTTTCACTTAGCATAATGTTTTTAAAGTTCATCCATGTGTTGATCTGTGTCAGTGCTTCATTTCTTTTTATGGCTGAATCTAATTCTGTTGTATGAATATGCTGCATTTTGTTTAGTAGTTGATAGGCATTTGGGTCGTTTCTCCCTTTTGACAAGTATGAACAATGCTGCTGTGAACGTTTGTGTTCAAGTATTTGAATGTCTGTTTTTAGTTCTTTTGGATACATACATAGTGAAATTTCTCTGTCATGTGTTAACTCTCTGTTTAACTTTTTGAGGAATCACAAAATCATTTTCTATTGTGGCCGAGTTGTTTTGTATCCCTACCAGTGATGCATGAAGGTTCCAATTTCTCTGCATCCTTGTCATATTTACTTTCTGTTTTTTGGTTATAGTCATCTTAGTGGTATGTGTGGAATCTTATTTTGGCTTTGTATTTCCTGATGGTTAATGATATAAGTGTCTTTTCCTGTATTATCCTTTGTGTGTCTTTTTTGGGGAAATGTTAATTTACTTCCTTTGTCTATTTTAATGTGAAGTTTTTATTTTTAAAATTGAGTTGTTAGAATTCTAGATATATTGTAAATACAGGTCCCTTTCAGGTATATGGCTTACAAACATTTCCTCCTAGTCTGTGTGTTGACTTTTCACTATATTGATAGTTTGAAGAGTTAGGTAATATTAATTAGTCTTTAAATATCTAAAGAGAATTTACAAATGAAAGCATTTGAGTCTGAACTTTTCTTTGTGGGTAATTTTTTACTCACTAATTCAGTCTCTTTATTCGTTATGTCACTTGTTATATTTCCTACTGCTTTCTGAGCCAGCTTTGGTAACTTGTGGTTTCCTAGAAATGTGAACATTTCATCTAATTTATATAAATTTATTGACATAGTTGTTTATAGTACTTGTATGTTTTTTAAAAAGACACACGAGAATAATTTTTTAGAGAAGAATTTCTATAGGACACACTCAAGAGTGGAGGGCAGGTAGTCAGAGAAACTAGGCGCCTATAGTTGTATTTTATTCTATGAACATAGCTTACTCTATCCAATTTGCTATAGGTTTGCATTTGTTGCCATTTTTTACTATTCCAGATACTGTAATGCAGCCATAAACATTTTAATTATATACGTATGTTGTAAGGTCCGACTCGACGCACCTTCCCCCAATGACCAGCCGAGACCGTACGGATGCAAGATGCAGAGGTTTTATTGCGTGGGCCACGGGCGTCTCTAATGTCCGAAGACAAGAGAAGCGCCCCGCCAAGGATGATCTTGCTTATATATAGTTTGAAGAGCGGGAAAGCGGGCTTTACAGAAGCAGATTTGCGGATTGGTTAATTCATATGAGGCTATTTGCGGATTGGTTAATTCATACGAGGCCATGAATACAGGGGAGGGGTTTAACAGGGGAATTTTGGCGCCGAAAAGTCCCTGATCCGTTAAGAGGACTAAACAAAGAGTCAGGGAATTCACAGAACAAGACTGCAAACACATTGCTTATCTTATGCAGGAAATGTTCTAGGGTCACCTTTTGTCAAACCATTTGCCCCTGGGCGGGCTGTTAACCAAGGTAGCAATTAGCATATGAAGAAGCACAGTCTGGCCTATTAGCATGGAGTCACTTTAGCCTATTCAAGTCTTACAATGTAAGTGTGTTAGAGTACAGATTGCTACAGGTAATTGCTGGGTCAGAGGTCTGTGTATTTGTAATGCTGATTGTTTCATCTCCTTGTCCTCTTTCTATCTTTACTGATTTGTATAAGGGCTTTATGGCTGGATCCTGGAGTTGGTAGGAATACACAGTGTGGCTGGTGCTTTTGTATTTAGAGCAAGTGGAAAGGGGTCTAGTGCTTTGGTGGCTGCTTCTGGTCAGGGATGCTTGTCCTCCAAGCCTGCTCCTGGTCAAGGGTGTTAGGTGGCCTAGGTCTACTGTACATTTGCATGTGGGATTCCCAAGCCCTCCATCCTGAATTATAGGTGGTCCCAGACTTTCTGACTCTAATAGGCTTGCTTTGGCTTGTGAGAGGTTGTTTGGAATTTGCAGCAGGAATGAGCCTAACCAGGTGACCCCTTAAGAATTCTTCCCAAGGTGATTCCTTTAGGAAGAATTCTGAGGGTAGTGGGGGCCCAGGTGGTATTGGCAGAAGAAGGGAGTGTTGGGAGGCTCTGCTTCTGGATGAAGATGTGACAAGGTCAAGTGCGTTTGTGACAAGGTCAAGTGCATTCCTCCTCATCACAGCTTTCTTTTTTCTTCGTTTCATTCTGGGCATTCACTGATGCAATGCTTGCCAATGCCCAGAGGTGCAGTGATGTTCATATAAGAAATTGGGGCTGCATTCATGCAATGGAAAGTCATCTTTGAGGGACCTCTACCTATCCTTTGTCCGGGCAGAGCTGCCTGCTCCATTCTACTTCCTTTTCCTCTGTCTGGAGTTTACAACAGAGGCACCAAAGTAGGTTAAAGGTGTGGACAGATGCAGTTGGAGATTTGAAAAATAATCCATCCACGTGCCTGGGGCAGGGGCTGGAGTTCAAGCCCCCTTGGCTGCCCTAGGTAGAGTGGTTCAGTGCATTTAGGCTTGGCTTGTTCTGTCCTGTACTAAGTGAAGTTTTATAGGAGGAGACAGCCTTTGTTGCCACAGATGTCAGAAGACTACGTGTGTTGGACATCTTGTCCCTACTGCTGGGTTGAAAAGATCCCAAACCCGAATTCTGCTGAAGGCTGAGTCTCTGTAGGTATATTGGGGAACTTGGGCCTGTCCTGAGGCCCCTATTTCCGTGCCTGCCAAGGAGCCTGAGTGGCTGCCCTCCCCAGGGCTGCTTGCCAGCCCAGGCCTGTGTTATTTTCTCTTTGTTGTGTGGGGTGTTCTGGCCCTCCAGCTCTGCAAAGGCGAAATCAAATTATCTCCTCTCTTGACCCAAATGAATTTCATCTCTGGGGAAGGCCCTGGCTCCACTTCCAGACAGTGAGCAGGAGGCTTTCTCAGCTGACTTCCTGGCTGACGCAGTTTCTCTCCCCTCCCCCTTTGTGTCTTTCAGTCTGCGGAGTTCTTCGAGATGCTGGAGAAAATGCAGGTGAGCACCCCTAGAGAGGAGAAGCCAGCCTGATGTGGGGGTTCTACACCAGGGGGTGCCTCAGAGGGAGGGAACGTTTTGGAAGCTTTACCTAAGAGTGGGTGGGATTGGGGGGTGGGGACAGGGACTGGCTCAGGATGCCAGAAATGCCACCAATATGGGGAGGCATTGAAAGGGGCCATTGTTCCTGGAATGGGTTGGAAAGAAAGCCTGAAAAAGCAAGCTTCATCTGAGGAGAGTTGTCTTGTGTCAGGGAGGCAAAGGTGCAGGGTGGGAAGCAGGCATAAGTTCAAATCCTGCATTGGACACTTAATAGCCCAAGTTCTGTACCATTTCCAGGCCCGTGTAAATAGTATCTGCTCACATGGAGGTTGGGATGAAATGAGAAAACATGTAAATACTTGGTAGGCACTACATCAAAGTCAGTGTTCAGGGCCAGGGATTGCGCTCAGTGGTGCCACTGCCTGTCTTGCAAGCGCAAGATCCTGAGTTCAATCCCTGGTACCAAAAAAAAAAACAAAAAAAAAAAACCCAACATTCACTGTGGATTTGCAGGTCCTTCATAATCATAGTCTGTATCCACAGGCTTTGAATCTTCATATCAAACTAATCATGGATGAAAAACAGTTCAGAGGAAAAAACTAGTGTCTGTATTTATCATGTACACAATTTTTCTTGTCATTTCCCCCTAAACAATACAGTATAACAACTGTTTTTTTAAAATTAGGTGCATTTATTGCTGAAGTTTCAGTGATTAACACATAGTTTCTGCCTTTTAAGACTTGGTCAGAAACATGATGTAACTGGAGTATATTAGAATTTCATGTTTTTTAAAAAATTAATTTTATTGCTACATTTAAGGTATACAATATAATGACATACTGTTTACATGGCATTTACATTGTATTAGGTTTCATTTGTAATCTAGAGATGATTTAAACTACAGTATGTAGGGCTGGGGATTTAGCTCAGTGGTGCGGCTGCCTGCCTCTCAAGTGCAGGTCCTGAGTTCGGTCTCTGGTACCAAAAACAAACAATAAGCTATAGTATGTAGGAGGATGTTTGTTTCTGTGCAACACTGTGCCATTTTATAAAAGGGACCTGAGGATCCGTGGATTTTTGGAACCAGTGCCCCTGAGGTCAGGCCTCACCAATAAGAACTGTTGCCTTGTATATGAGTGCAGGTCCAGGTTTAATTGCTATGGGTGAAAAGAGTAGACTGAAGAAGCTGATCATAACACGTTTCAGGCGCTTCTCTGGACTCAGGTTGACAGGCATTCCTTCCTCCTGACTAGTTCCTCAGATGTACCTGTATTATTGTTATCATCCCCATATCACAGGTGAGAAAACTGAAGCTAGTACGTGGTTTCAGAACCAGAGGGCCTAGGCATTGTGTTCTGATGCTTTTACCTTAAGTGGGGGGAAAGATTCTGTAACAGGGTCCTCAGGCTCCTATTGGGGCCCTGTGCAGTCCCCAGATGCAGGTGGACTTGCCAGGGCTCTTAGGGTGAGGAAAGGGGAGGGAGACTGTTGGAAGGAAAGATGCTGTTAATAGTTGTGTCATCACCATGAGTGAATTGTTAAGACTCTCCTGTGTGCCCAGTAGTGTGTGGACTGCAAACTCATTTTATATGCACTTAGGAAACTTATAAGCGAGTTGTGGAAAAGGGGCTGGCATATACACTGCGTGAGCAGTGGGAGACAGGGTATCATTAAGCCCTCAGCTGCTTGGAGTAAGGCCAGGATTTTCCCCTCAACTCAGTGGGATCCCATCACCCTGGCAAACTGGTGAAGGATTGGCAGTTCGCTCTGCCTTCTTCCTGGTGGAGCCCTTGATACACCTGTCCTCACCCCTAGCTGGAGTCTCCTGCCTCCCTGCAAAGGGATTTCCTGTGCAAGAACATATTCAGCCGTACTTAACTGCCCTCATACTGGTCTGTTTGTTAGAGGCTGCTGGCCTTGTCTTGTCAGCTCTTTGCCTCTCCAGGGCAAGTTTTTTTATTCTCCCTCTGGGTCTCCATGATGCCTAATACCCGTGGTAGTTTGCTGCTTCCTCTCTGGATGATGGAAGCTAAACTTATAGTGTGTAAGACTACATGTGCCCACTGGGCGCCATCCTCAGAGAGCTCCTAGTTTCTAGCAATTCTGTTCATATAAAATTTACATCAGAAGAGCCAGGGATTTAGCTCAGTGGTGCCGCTGTCTGCCTCAAAAGCGGAAGTTCCTGAATTCGATCCCTGGTACATGCCCCCCCATCCAAAAAAAACCCCTTACATCAGGGACTGATGGAGATGGAGTGCTGTGTGGTACAGCCAGGTCTGTCCTGGCCATGGGCTCTGTCTTGCCTCATCTTGCAGTTTTGGAAATTGAACCTCAGATCCGTAAAGTGCTTAGGTTATTCTGCTGGTGAAGAGTTGAAATGAGGAATCGGACCCCCAATTCCCAGCTTGAGAGTCTAGGAATTTGAAGAAGGCCACAATCCCTGGGAAGCAAGAGGGTTGAGTGAACATACCTTGGTTCTTCAGTCCTGGGTTCAGATCTTAGCCTGATGTCTACCAGCTGAGCGACATCGTTAAGTCATTCCCTCTCTGAGCTTCCATTTCTTCACTGGGGACAAAGGGGGAAATAATAGTAGTATGGACTGCAAAGGATAGGGTGTGGAGGAGAAAGGGCCCCCAGCTCGGGGCACTAGTGTGTTGTGGGGGAGAGATTTGCTCTTCTGTTCCAGGGACCGTTCCCAGACAAGGATGACTAATGAAGGACAAACAAAACAAACTCTTGACATCACTCCCCCACCCCCACCCGCCCCGTTTCCAACCTGGACAGGGTCTGCAGGGCCACCCAGGTGGTTTTCTGCCTGCGTGTGAGGAGCACCTGTCTGGTGGGAGAGGTTCTCCCACACCCTCCTGAGCAATGCTACAGGGTGACTCAGCCCAGGGGAGACTGGGGAGGCTGCATCTAAATACGCCCAGTTAGGAGGAGCCTTGGTGACCAGGGACTGAGGGGTGTGGTCATTCACCTGATAGGAAGGTGACCCAGCTTCAAATCCAAGCCCTGTCACTCACTAGCTGTGTGTGATCTTAGGTACACAGCCACCTCTGGGGCTTCAGTTTCCCGGTTGGTGAAAAGGTGCTGTGAACTTCAAAGGAGGGCACAGAAAGAGTTCACTTTGGAGGGGTCCAGTCCTTTATGTTCTGACGAGGCAAGGACTGTTTCTGGATTTCCCTGTCCCTGGAGGGAACTCTTTCTCCTAGTTTGTCCCAGCAGCTTATACCCTTGTGTGATTTATGTAGACAGTCTTGGGGTACTAGGTGTTCCCCTCTCACACAATCCAGTTAGGTCAGAACCCAGTCATGTGACTGGTGGGTAAGGTTCTGCTCCTGGATTTGAATTTTCTAGGTGCTTGCAGTTGAACCCCTCTAAACCAGTTCTAGTACTTGCGCTTGATCCTTGAAGTACTTCTTGAATCTGTGAGATGGGGAGGTTGGTTTAATCCTTATTGCATAAATGCAGCAGCAGAGACTCCACAGGTTGCAAATAGGAAGCTTATAGCACAATGGGGAGTGGGACCAGATCTGCTTATTATCCACAGGGTCTTGCATCAAGGAGGGAATGGGGCTGGATGGCCTGAGCACCACAGTGCTGACTCTGACCCCGACAGACATGGCTTCCCATCTTCTCAGCTGTGGGGCCCTGTGGCCCTAGGGAAGATATTTGAGTTCTAGGATGGTAACACTGCCGACCTGTAATGATAACCTGGAGCATCTACTGTATACTAATACAGTAGTTGTGAGGGCTTAACCCACTATTAACCTTTAACCTTCACTTAAATGGTGAAGGTGAGAATGGACTCACAGAGAGGCTTCTGTGACTTGCCCAAGTTCATCAGGCTTCAGTGGCAGTGCTAAGATTTGAACCTGTGTGATCTGGCTTTGGTCCATGCTTTTTTGTAAAAAGAAAAAAAATTAAATTTTACTTTTTATTAGTACAGGCTTACTTTACATATATTCATTGTGAGGAACTGGTACATGTACATAGTACTCCTCAATTATGTTTTCTCCCTTCCCCTCCACTCCCATTTTTTGAAGTTATTTTCTGTTTCATGCCAGCGTAGATTTATTTATTTTATCTCTTTATCAAGTTAATTATCAGAAACAGGTTAACATCTAAAACCGACAGGCCAAAATCATATAAACATATATGACAGTTATACCAAGTCAAAGTTCACTGTTAGATACTTTGGCCGTACTGAATTACAATAGCTTTTCTCTTTTTTTTTCCTCATATAAGAGAAACCATTGTGCTTGTCTGATCTGTTTCACTTAACATTGTATTCTCAAGATGTATCTATTTTCCTACAAACGGCTTAAGTCTGCCTTTCTTTATGGCAGAGTAGAGCTCCATTGTGTGTAAGCACCACATTTTCTTTATCCATTCATTTACTGATGTATAAGTTGCTTTCAAGATTTAGCTCTTATGAATTGTGCTGCTATAAACGTGGGCACGCATTTTTATGTAATATGTAGTATGTCTTGAACTATTTGGGGAAGATAACTAGAAAGCAAATAGCTGGATCAGATGGAATTTCTATTTTAATTTTTATTACGCTCCCACCAGCAGTTCCTTTTTTCCTGTGGTCTTTCCAGAATTTGTTATTGTTTGATTTCTTGATGATGGCCATTCTGTCTGAAGAGAGATGGATTCCTTTTTCTTTTGTTCTTTCTGGATCAAACTAGAGATCTTGCGCTTGTGAAGCAGGTGGCAGAACCACTGAGATAAATCCCTGGCCTAAGAGATGGATTCTTAGTGTTGTTTTAAAGTATTTCTTGGATGGCCAGTGACATTAAACATTTTTTCATGTATTTATTAGCTGTTTGTGTTTCTTCATCTTAGAAGCATTTATTCATTTCAGATTCTCAGTTTTGATCAGATTGTTAAACTTGAGGGGCTCAGATTTTTGAGTTCTTTATATATTTTAGATATTAGTCCTTTGAAGAGTAGCTGGCAAAAATTTCTTCCTCTCCTATAGGTTGTCTCTTCACTCTATTGGTCGTTCCTTTTGCTGTATAGAAGCTTTTTAGTTTAATGTGATCCCATTTGTTGATTCTTGTTATTATTTCTTGTGCAACCAGGGATCTGTTCAGAATGTCTTTGCCTCTGTCTATATCTTCAAGAATTTTATCTATTTTGTCTTCCAGAAGATTTAGTGTTTCTATTTTAATATTTTTGATCTTCAACCCATCTCGATTTTAGTTTAGTACATGGTGAGAGATATGGGTGTGGGTTCAACCTTTGGCATATAGATAGCCAGTTTTCCCAGAACCATTTATTAAAGAGGCCATCTTTCTTCCAGTGAAAGTATTTGGCCCTTTTGTCAAAGATAAGGTACCTGAATGTGCCTGAAGTTGTTTCTGCATCCTCTATTTGGTTTCCTTGATCCACAAGTCTGTTTTTTTCCAATACCATGCTGTTTTTACCACTGTAGCTTTGTAGTATAACTTGAAGTGAGGGATTGTGATGTCCCTTGCCTTGCCTATGTTGCTCAGAATTGCTTTTGATATTCTAGGTCTCTTCTGGTTCCATATGAATTTTAGGATTGCTTTCTTTGGTTCTGTGAAGAATGCTGTTGGTGTTTTGATTTGGTTTGGGTTAAATCTGTATAATGGTTTTGGAAGTATAGCCATCTTGACTATGCATATATATTTTTTTCCTCATAGCACCACAAATCAATTTTTATTGAATGAATTAATTAAGTAGATATTTGTTTTTTTTTTCATTGGGTTTATTGATACATTTTAAGTATACAGTACAGTTACATTCATTATTGGGATCTTGTACCTTTATATGATAGGTCTTGGTTCTCTTTTTTTCCCTTTGTCCCTGCCTTCCTTTCACGCCCTTCTCCCCTCCCCATTTACAGACACTTTATTTCCATTTTTTCATTTTCTCATATTTTTTTCTTTTCCCCTACCCTTCCCACTTTCCCTACACCTTTAGTCCTTTTCTTCCTATTTCACATTGTCGATTATCTCATTAGGATCTTATGTACTATTATAGTTTTTCACACCAGAGAAACTATTCGGTATTTATGCGTGTGACTTATTTATTTCACTTAGGAGTATATCCTCAGTATGTATCCATTTTCCTATGAATGACTAATTTCTCATTCTTTATGGCTGAGAAGTATTCCATTTTATAGAAAAACCACATCTTCTTTATCCAGTTTCCAACTGATGGGCAAATGGGCTGTTTCCAAGTTTTAGCTTTTATAAACTGTGCTGCTAGAAACATAGGTGTGCATATATCTTGACTATATTGGTTTTATCTATCCAGGAAGAGGGATTTATTTCTATTTTCTGATGTCCTCTTTGATTTCAATGGAACTGTAGTTTTCATCGTGGAGGTTTTTTACTTTCTTAGGTTAATTCCTAAGTATTTAACTTTCCTTGATACTGTTGTGAAAGTTATGGTTTTCCTAATTACTTTCTCAGTCAGTTCATTATGTATGTATAGGAACGCTGTTTTGTGTGAGTGTGTGTTTATTTTGTATCCTGCTACATTGCTAAATTTGGTTATTATAGGATTCTTTTGGTGGAGTTTTTGGGATCATCTTTGTACAGGATCATGCTATATGCAGATAATGATCATTTAACTTCTTTGTTTTCTATGTGTATCCCTTTTATTTTTTTCCCTTTTCCGATTGCTCTGGCTAGTATTTCAAGAGCATATTGAACAAGAGTGGTGATAGTGGTTGTCCTTGTCTTTTCCTGATTGTAGAGGGAAAGCTTTTAGCTTCTTTTCATTTGCTATGATGTTGGCCATTAGTTTGTTACAGATGGTTTTTGTCAGGTAGAGGTAAAGACTTTGTACACATATTTTCAATGTGTTTTTTTTCTTCAGTGGATGTTGGATTTTGTCAAATGCTTTCTCTGCATCTGTTGAGATGATCATGTGATTTTTGTCCTTGTTCTTGTTTATGTGGTATATTATACTTACTAATTTGCATATGTTGAACCATACATGCATCCTTGAATCCTACTTGGTCATGGTATATAATCCTTCTTTTTTTTTTTTGGTACCGGGGATCAGACTTGGGACCTTGTTCTTGTGAGGCAGGTGGCAGAACCACTGAGCTAAATCTCAAGCCCTTTCCTTTTAGTGATTTTCTGAATTCTGTTTGTCAGTATTTTATTAAAGATTTTTGCTTCTATGTTCATTAAAGAGATTAGGTCTTTCTCTGGTTTTGGAATCAGGGAGTGGTTGCTTCCAGGGAGTACTGCTTCTCTTTCAGTTTCATTAAAGAGTTAGATTGTCTCTAAAGTTCTTGTAGGATTCATTGGGACATGGAAGGTATCATTGTCTTCTAGTTCTGAAGTTCTGGCCTCACACTGATCATTTCTTCTGTCTATACTTTCAGTATAATTTTTAATCTCCTGTACTTCTGATTGAAACCTTTTCTTAGACTCTAATTCTTTGCTAAGCTGATCATTTATGTTTTGCATCATTTTGTTTAGCTCATCTAGCTTTTTATTAGTGTCTTCTGGATCATTTTGGTTATTACTTTATCTGTTTAGTTATATCTTCTGTGACCCCCCTGGGTTCCTCTCTCATCTGTTTTCTAATTTCTTCTATTATCCCTTTGAGTAATTCTGAGGTGTGGTATATGCTATTGTTCCCCTCAGGTTCCCCTGGTGCCTCTGTCAATCTAACAATTTTCTCATTACACTTAGCAGGAGTCTCCTCAATTCTCAGGGCTATTAACTTTATTACAATAATTATTAACATAAAATCCTCAGCAATATCACAATATCAAACCCATTATTCGTATGATGTGTTAATTATGGCAGTTCTCCTTCTCCTATCACTACCTATCCTAGCTGCAGGAATCACTATACTATTAACAGATCGAAATCTTAACACGACTGTCTTTGACCCTGCAGGAGGAGGCGACCCAATTCTATATCAACACTTACTCTGATTTTTTTGGTCACCCTGAGGTATATATTCTAATTCTTCTGGGATTTGGAATAATCTCCCATATGAGCAAGGGCACAAGTGCATTGACTTTCTAATAAAGAGCAACTCAAGCTGAGTCTGGTCTCTGGATGTGGGCACGACACCTGTGTCCTTCAGCTGAAACGCTTCTGGGAGTATTTTTTCAGCCTGGTTATTGCTCCTTGGCCATGACTTTCTGGTGGCTGTCTCAGTCACTGTGGGAATGTAACACTGAGCCCTTAGGTGAAGCTGTACCATTGTTGCTCTGAGTCCTGGGTTCAGAGAATCAGCCCTTCCCTAAAGTGGTGACCAACCAAGCATTCTCTCCAGGAATATGGTGGGAGCTTGGACTGTAACCACTCATCAGCTGTTGCCTATCCAAGATCTCATGTAGAAGCAGAATCTCATGCCCTACTTAGAGCTTACAACACCCACCAGTGTGTTTCACTACATTTCTCTCTGAAGCCCTCGAGTACCCAGCTTTCACTGTGTCTCTGTAGATTTGGTCTCCTTTCTGCCAGGACCATGAGTTGGAAGCTGAGGAGAAAGCGAGATTGTCCGTTCCCTTCTGCACATGTGTTCTGTCTCTTCAATTTCTCTGTATGTTTTAATTTTCCTGTCAGACTCCTTCCTGGTTCCTGGTAATCTGCTCTTTCTTTTTTTTTTTTTCCTACCCCAAGTTGTTATTTTCCAGTGTCTGGATTCTGAACTTTGGAGGAGCTGATTGTTGTTGCCTACCACTGTGCCATTTTCCTGGAAGTCTCTGGTTTTTCTTTGTAAGAAATCTCTCTCTTCATCTTTTGGTTCCTTCTCTATGCTTTCTTCACACTGCGAGATACCCAGGTTATTTTTTACAAGTATAGCAATCTCAGAACAGAGATAATCTTTTACAATGTTTTTAGCGCACAGCTCAGGTTAGTAACTTGGTCCATGCTCTTAACCCAGCTTCCCTGCTGCCTCTTCTGGGTTTGCTGTGAGGACTGGACAGCCACAAGATGTGGAAGGTGTGAAGGCTTGGTAATTGCCAACTGTCAAACTGTGCTCATCACTAATCTCCAGAGGGCCAGGTACCCAGAGATCTTGCTGTTGGGCCTCACTTTTGAGATCTTTGCTTTCATGGATCCTCTTTCCTTGTTTCCACAGGGGATCAAGCTTGAAGAACAGAGACCAGGACCCCAGAAGAACAAGGTGGGCTGGGTGGGTAACGTGGTGGCCAGGTGGGCCTGGTGAGGGTACCTAGGTGGGAGGAGCAGTGAGCATGTTGGGCTCATCAGCCTCGGTCTGCCTAAGTTCACCACATTAGACTTGTACCTACTGGGCAGCAAAGCGGGTTCTGGCTCAGTGCCTGTAACCAGCTTGAGTAGGCTGGGGCGGAGGTCTTGGGGGAGACCCAAGGATGGTATCTTGGCTTGCTCCTCCCCATCTCATTCAGTACCAGCGCTTGCAGTGTTCAGGGGTGTCAGACGTCATTAGCGCTCATCTTCAGGTTCCACTTCCAGGGCCCAAGGGTGTGGCTTATCACTTGCAGGTCAGCTCAGTTACCTGGAAAGGGCTGCTGATTTGAGACTAGGACTTCTGTTTTAGCGCACTAGAGCACAAACAAGGATCACTGTATGCTGCATCTCCAGTTCCTTGGGTTTGCAGTCATGTTCTGTCAATTTGTCAAGGAGCTCAGTGGACCTCAGATATCAGAACCTGCAGCTGCCTCTAGGCTTTTCTTCCATCTCATATGCTTCCCCAGAAGTCCCATTAAAGACTTACAGGACTCGGAACACACTCCTCCCTAGACCCAGAAGAGAAACTTGGAGACAGTCATCTGCCTTTAGGGGAACTCCTGGGATTAATGGTTCTGTTGTCTGGTTTGTCTTGCAGGATGACTATATTCCGTACCCCAGCATTGATGAGGTAGGACACCCACTGCTGTACTGCAACCTGATCTAGGTCTCACCCCTGGGGAGATGATGGCTCTTCCCAAACCCACATGGGAGAGAAACTTGGGCCTGGGACTTGGACCTGAGACCTCTTTCCATCTTCACCTTTGTGATCTAAAGTTGTCTATGTTTAGATTGGGGGCTCCTACCCAGGCCTTGCATCCCTCAGTCCCGGGGTCAGCCATTGAAGCTGGAGATGCTGTGGGGTTCACATTAGAAATTCATATTATTGCCTTTGGCCTCAGATACCAGGGTCCTCTCCTTGGAGCAGTTTAGAGGTGGGTGACGATACCACTGGTGCCCTCCACTCCCCCTGTCATCCCAGAGCAGCTGTAAGGCAAGACCTTCCCTCTGCTTCCAGGTTGTGGAGAAGGGGGGCCCGTACCCTCTGATCATCCTGCCCCAGTTTGGGGGCTACTGGATTGAGGACCCAGAGAATGTTGGCACTCCGACATCACTGGGCAGCAGCATCTGTGAGGAGGAGGAAGAGGACGGCTTTAGCCCCAACACATTCGGCTATAAGCTTGAGTGCAAGGCTGAGGCCAGAGCCTACCGCAGGCACTTCCTGGGGAAGGTGAGGCCCAGGGGCCCTGGGAGAAAAGAACTGCCAGAGGGGGAGGTGCCCTGGGGGACCCAGGGGTCCTGTCTCTGGTGCCCCCTTTGTTATTTCTGCTTTGCTTTTTCATGGTTGTCCCTCCCTTGCTGCCTGCCTCTTAGTTTTCCAACTAAGGTCAGACTGGCAGTATCCTGGGCTGTGGGCAGGGGCAGTATAGAACCTCTGTGATAAGTCATTGTGGGGATCACCCCAGCAAGTGCTGTGGGCAGTGATAGGAGGGTGGTTTGCAGGTGAAGGACTTTTAATGTTCAAGGAAAGATACACCCTTATACCGTGGATGCCTCTATTTTCATCTGCATACTAGCTAGCCATCTCTCATGATCTCATTCAATGACAGGTCTCCTGAGTAGTACAAGGACTAGATGGTGTTTCATGAGCCTCTGATTGCTTCAAAGTGATAAACTGATATTTCTCTAAATAGTAGGTGTGGTAAAAATACACAGTGAATGTTAAACAATTTATTATAGCAAAAGACACTTTGCCATTAATTCCCCTCAAAATACTGCCCTTCACAGCTTTGTGAGGCAGTTCTGGAAGTTCTTTTTCATGAATATCTTCATAAGATGTGATAAAAAATACAGTGAGTGCTGCTGTCTGGTGCCATCCGATGGAAAGACAGGCTTGTAAGAAATGACAGTGGGTCCTCATCGATCTTATTTACCAGATGTGGCAACTTCTGGCTCTTTCAATTCACTGTAGTTTTGATCATATCTTTTATAATCTCCTCTTTGGAATTGCTAGGACCCCCCAGTTCCTGAGGGGAGATTCTGAAAACCATTAGCCTAAGGCAGCTTCAGGCTTTTCAGAATCTCTTCTGGAGGAGGCTGCAACCCAAACCACTAAACTACAGGGACTCTTGTTAAAATGCAGATTTCAGGGCCCCACCCTGATTCTTTGGGCCTGGAGTGAGGTTCAGTCAACCTCCCTGTTCGTAGTCTGAGCTCCCTGAGTCATAGAGGCTCTCCTGGTGCAGAGAAACTCTTGGCTTCTCTTGGGTGGAGGTGCTGGGTTCCTTCTAGCTTTCTTTTTCAAATAGCCTGGAGTTAGAAACTGAGCTCAGTACCTGGTAGTGAAGACAGATGTGGATTTGAATACTGGATTTGTCATTCACTGGTTTTGTGACCGTGAGTGGTTACTTAACTTACCTGGTCATTGGTTTCCCCCTGTGTGTGAAATTGAGTGATGACCTCATCTCCTGCATAAAGTCTTCATTAGACTTAGAGAAGATAATGGTTAATAAGACCACAGCACAGTGCCTGGCATATCTTGAGATGCCTGTTAAAGTAGTTCTCGTCGTCGTCTCATCGCCATCATCGTCATCATCAAATAGCTGTAACAGCAGCCGCAGCATCCTTTATTCCTTCATTTCTGTGGAGCTTCTCCCTTTTGGCGAAGTGGTAATTTGGAGGACATTCCTGGAGGCTCACCTGCTCTCCATTCATACCTGATTTCTATTTCTAGGATCATCTAAACTTTTACTGTACTGGCAGCAGCCTGGGGAACTTGATCCTGTCCGTCAAGTGTGAGGAAGTGGAGGGGATTGAGTACCTTCGGATCATTCTCAGGTGGGGTTGCTGCATTGGTCCCGGCCACACCTTTTCCAATGGGGTTCCCATGGGGAGGGGTAGAGATACTAGTCTGACCAGTCTGATCTGGCTCAGTTGGAGAGACCAGCCTGCTGGAATCCTGGAGCTGTGGATGCAGTTGCCAGGCAGTGATTCTCCAAGTCACTTAGAACAGGCCCTTACTTGCCTCTTTTTCTTAGGAGGGACTGTGATGGGAAGATAGGATAGGGATGGCTCAAGCTGAGACAACAGGTGCATGTCCTGGTGAGGGTTGGCCATAACACTCCCTATAGTGACCACAACAGGAAGGTGGATCCCAAAAGCATTCATTGTGTATGCCGGGTTCCTGAAGCTGGAGTGTTGCTCACAACAGGAGCCCTGATTTGTGGCAGAAACCAGGACATTTCACTCTGGATTATGACCTCTTCATGGGCAGGAATTGGAACTGGTTTCTGTTTGGTTCAGCTATCTTGCTTTGTAAAACCTCTCTTGTGCCAAGAATTTTGGATAGGTACTGGGGATGCAGCGACCACTAAGTCTTGGTTCCTGTTTGCTAAGTTCTTAGGGTTCGCAAAGGAGAAAAACAGTTTTAATATGCATTGCAACGTTATTTCTCTTATGATCAGGGTGCTGTGGAATTCCAAAGGAGCCTGTTCCTGTCCCTATTGAGGGGTCCCAGGCAGTGGGGGCAGGAAGGCAGGAAAGCCAAGGGCTAGCTGGTCCTTAGAAGACTGAAGTCAACCTGTCAAATTCTCAATCCATATTTGTCCAATCTAGTTGGAAGGTGTTGAGGGTATTTGAAAGAGAGTAATAACATTTTTTTCCTGCTCATATTTTTAAGTAAATATGGGAAGGAATAAGAACATGTAACCTTGCTATGGGAGCACTAGGAGGGGATGTGCTTTGAGGAAGTCTTTAGCCACTTCCAACTGTGGCTTGCTTCTTGTTTAGAAAGGAAGCCGTTGTCTTTACAGGGGTTCACCTGGGTAGAGACTATTTGCGAGGAATGAAAGAGTCAATAAATAGAGAGACAATTCTCTGGGGGATTAATTCTTGGATCATATCTCCAAATAGGAGTTCTAGTTAGATGATCCTTTATAAAGAGACTTGCTTCCTTTCTTAATAAAAATGAGACCAAGATTGCTGGGATGTCAGAGTAAGATAACAACTGAACTCAAGAATCTAAGCCCCCCCTTTCCTAATTCTGTATTCTACTAAAATGTTGCATCAAGATTGAAAGCTAGACAGAGGTGCCAGATACAACAAACACTTTAGTTGTTTATAAAAAATTGTAATCTGTGGGATAGTTAGGACCAATCTGTAGGCGATTCTGAGCTGAACTTCTGTCCTTCTTCCTTAGAAAGCAAAGTAATAAGGGAATATGAAATTAGAAATTCTTAAAAAAAATCCAATGCTCTAGGAGTGAGAGGGAGTCCTGAATAGTCAGAGATCTTTCCACATAGAATTGCTTTTGTTGTTTTGGGTCAACACCATTTGAAATCAGTATCTTGGGAAGCCCAAAGGCAAGATCATATGTTGCTCTTCCTAGCAGAAAGCCAATGGGAAAGGTGGCAGAGAGAGGCCATACACAAGCTAGAAAGTTGGACAGTCACATCATGTACTTAGAATGGTTGCTAGGCCAAATTGGAAACCAAGCATAACAAATAAGGCTCCATGGCTTAGCAACTTTACCAAAGACAAAGAAGAACTTATCCAGAGATGAAATTCACTTGTTGGCAGTGACTTTTGTCCCAGCTTCTTCCTTGTTCTGCACAGACTTCTGGGTCATTTAATTGATATCCTAATATAACAGCCAGATTTGCCAAATCTCCTAAAATCTGAGAAGAGTATTATAACCTTTGTGTGTGCCATGAGAGTAGCCAAATAGAATCTATATAGTGTTTGGAGACATTTAGGACCATTTGTTGTAAACTGTTTATAAGCTTTATTCCTTTTTTGATAGGATTGTCATTTGAAATTTCTATTTTAAAAAGTCTTGTAGGTAGTTCTTGATAACAAATAGATTTAGGAACTTACGAACCATGAAGTAAATCTAAATTTCTAAAAGCAAACACATCACTGATTATATTCACTTGCAAGTTGCCATTAAAACTAGAAATTAAGAGAAGAATATTTTTGAAAAATCCACTTAGAAATAAAAAACTCAATACTTTCATAAGTAATTTTAGACTAAAGAGGAAATTAAAGCTACAGTTATAAACTATTTATAAAGTAATGACATTTACAATATTACACACGGTTCATTGGCCTGCCTTGCAAGCACAAGGACCCAAGTTCAATCCCCGGTACCAAAAAAACCACAAAAAAACTCTTAGTATGGGCCAGGGATTTAGCTCAGTGGTTCAGTGGCCTGCTCAATCCCCGGGACCAAAAATAAAAAAAAAATATTACACAAAAAATCTTATGGATTGTAATCAAAGCTGTATTTAGAAAATGTATTGTCTTACAAAGTTTTTTTTTATTAAAGTAAGAAAGAATGATAGTTGCAAGTTTTTGTTGTTGTTAGTAGCCTGTCTGTGCCTCAGTTTCCTTGTCTATGAAATGGTGATGATAATATTTACCTAAAAATTATTGAGTGCTTGTAAGCCCTGGCAAATCAGAGCCTCACATATTTTAGCTACTCAAGAACAAATTTTTATATTAAACTATTCCAGAGAAAGAATATAGAAAGCTCACTGGTTAGTGATGCTTAAAAGATTCTCATTAAAAAAAAAGGCAAATCACATGCAAAAAGAAAAAAAAGAATAGGGCCCAAAATTTCTTATGAATATAAAAATAAACATTTAAACCAAGTATCAGTCCCAGAGACTCAATTCCAGTCAGACTTAGGAATAATTCACTATAGTCAAGAAAAAGTTATTTTAGCAATGCAAGGGTGACTAATAGGCGAAAATGCATTATTCGTTTAGTGTTTGCGTTACCAATGCTTAATCTGTGTTGGACTTTGTGCATTGATAGAGATGCTGTGAGAACTAAGTTCCTACTTTGTTACTTGGCCACAGAGAGCATTCGGTGTATGTTAGCTACTCTTACTCCTTTTGTTAGACTTACCATCTTATGGACTGGGTTGTCACAGACTCATTTAGTGATGTGGAGCATTCATGGGAAGGAGAGCTGAGAGAAGTTCAAAATGGCCCGAGTGTGGAACGTGCATCGGAGTTGTGTGCAAGGTTTAGAGCAACAGGAAAGCTATGCAAGGGAGAAGAAGGTCATGATCAGGTCTGGAGCACAGTCACTGACTAGAATAAGGAGAATGGCTTGGAGGAAGCTGTGATGAGCCAGGGATGATCCAGGCCAACAGAAGCATGATGTGAGTGGCACCTCCAGAGCTGTGGAGATCAACAGTGATGAGGAGAACAGAACCAGAGTATCTTGCACTGAGAATAGAGAAAAGCGGGTGGAATATTCCAAACACCTGGGGGAAAACTGACATTAAGAAAGACAGCCCAAATGTCAACAAATGGGAGCTAGATTAACTGCTAATGAAATGCAAATGATATGCTTTCAAAATGACTTAAATATACTTAAAATCCTAGGAAGACAAAGAATGAATAGCATCTATAAAGTGGGTCACCTGGATATGTAAGGAAAAAATTAGAATTATTAGAAATAAAAGAATAGTGGTTGAATAACACATAAGATAAAATCTAGTCTGTTCAAAGAGTGAATTTGTAAATCAGAAGATAATCCCAAGGAATTCACCCAGAACACAGCACAGATAAAGAGATTAAGTATATGAAAAAGAAGATAAGATATGCGGATAATAGACTGGGTGGCCTCAGCATTTGTCTCAGAGGAGTTCCAGCAGAAAAGAATAGAGAGATTAGTGAATAAACACCCAGAGATAATAGCTGAGAATAATTTAAAATCGAATAAGGTACATAGCCTGCTATTGAACCCAATTTTAAAACAAAACAATACTTTTAAAGAGGTTAAAGTGGAACATCAAAAATCAAAGTTTTAGAAAAATATTAAAGCCACCCGAGGACAAGACAGATTAGCTTTGAGAGAGTGACAAGGCTGAGAGCATATTTATCCTTAGCTGTAATAGTATGGGAAGACAGTGGAACAATAGCATCTTTAATAAGTTTGAAAGCAACCAAGAGAGAAAGGAAAAAAGAAAGAAGAAAGAAATACTCCTAAGTTACAGTTCTTTACCTGGAAAAACTATCAGCAAAGACAAACTGTTTTTAAACATAAAAACTAAAGAGTGTGTATACTCTTAGAATCTTCCTGGAAGAACTATTAAGGGAAAAAAAGAGAACTCAGAAGAAAAGGTGTGGTTAAAAAGTATAGCAAGAGACAAGATGAAGTATATTAGTAAATTTGTGTACTTACTGGAAAAAAGTAACTTTTCGCCTGTAAAGGAAGCTTGAACTAAATTTATAAAGAAATGTAGCAAGGACAATAGAAAGGGAAGAATTTAGTAAATAAATCATACTTTATTGTTTTACTTTTATTCCCCCATCCCAGGAGAGAACAGTTTTAAGTGATACAAATTTATCAAATGATATAAATATATATATTGGAAGGTATATATTGGTATCTCAAAATAGCAGAGGGATAAAAAGAGAATAAAACAACATCCAAAATAACCCACAAATGTAGATGGGTGTGGTGGCCCATGCCTATAATCCCAGCCCTTGGGAGGCTAAGGCAGGAAGATTGCCATGAGTTGGAGGCCAGCCTGAACTAGAGTGAAACCCTGTCTCAAAAACAAAAACAAACCCCCAAACTCCAACTTTATTCATTTGAAGGGAGGAAAGGAAAGGGATAAAAAAAGAAAGGAGGAAAAAAACCCCACAGAGAACATAAAATGTAAAATATAAAATGATAGATTAGAAATAATTTCAAACATGTTAGTAGTTGCAATAATTATAGATTAAATCAGCTGACTAAAATATCAAAGTATAAGATTGAATTAAAAATACAGCTATATTCTACTTATAAGACCCATACTTAAGGCAAAATTAGACAAAATAGAATTCCAGGAAAAAAACTTTTGGGACAAAGGAAGTACTATTGTCTAATTTGCAAATATGATGTGCAGCCATGTTCTTTCTCCTGTTTCCCCTTGGATCTGTCTCCTGAGCAGCCCCCACAGAAAGAGTCTTGTCTGTGCCCAGGTCTGTCATTACCAGTGGCTGGGTGGGTGACATGTCTAATTCTGGGGTTCAGTTAGAAAGACTCATTTCATCTTCATATTAATCTATGTGTTCCTTGTGGCCTTTATCAGTAACAAAGGAGTTGTTCTGACTCCCAGCTGCCTTATTCTTTGTCATGATTCTGTTTGTTTCTAAATGCATGTATAAAAAAGAAGAAAGATTAAATGCATATGTATGCAAACCAGGAAGCTAGACAAAGAATAGTAGAAGAAACCTGAAGAAAAGGAAGGGAAATTAAAAAACAAACAAGCAAACAAACAAAAAAACAAAACAAGAAAAGCAAAAGGAAGCAAATATAAAGAATAGAGACAATCAATAAAACCAAAAGCTTTCTCTTTGAAAAAAACTAGTAAAATAGCCAAACCGCCAGCTAAGCACTGATTAAGGAAAACCGAAAAGATACCCATAGTATTAAGCAATGAAGGAGAGGACACACTACTATTAAAGGTGAAATCCTAAGAGAGATCCAAAACCAACTTTGATTCAGTGCATTTGATGGATAGTTTTATAGAAAAACTTAAATTACCAAAAGTGATTCAATAAGGAGTAGGAAACCTAAACATTCACCACTAAAGAACTATAAAGAGTCTGTCTGTAAGAAAACAAAAACAAAAACCAAAAACCAAGTGGAGTGGGTGCAGTGGCCCATGCTTGTAACCCCAGCTGCTCAGAGGACAAACACAAGAGGATCGCAATTCCAGGCCAGCCTGGCAATTTAGGGAGACCCTGTCTCAATGTGAAAAATAAAAGAGTTGGGGGATATAGTTTAGGAGAAAGAACAGGGTTCGATGCCCAGTACTCAAACAAACTAACCCAAACAAACTAGAACAAAGAACACATAGATGAGTTTTAGCAGATGTTTAAGGAATAGAAAACCCATGTATCATATAAACTATTTTAAAGGACCAGAAGCTATCCTACAATTTTGTGTGGCTGGAATAATTCCATACTGTCAAAAGTTAGCATGGGAAGTAAAAGAAAAAGCAATAGGCCAGTGTTTCTTTTAAACATAGGCAAGACAATATAAATAAACTGTTAATCAATTAAATTCAGCAGGATACTAAAAATAATACGTTATAAACAAGTGGAGTTTTACCCATGGAACCAAAAGATGGCTCAACAGAAATGTAATCCACTAGGTTAACAGATTAAAAACCATATGATTATCTCGGTAGATGCAGAAAAGCATTCATGAAAATTCAACACTGCTAAATGAATCAGGGGAACAGGCTAAATTTAGGTGAATCCTTTCATAAAACAGATTCCATCCCATTTATATTTTGAGTAAATCCAGATTTTCAAATATTAGATTTATCTTTTTAAACCGATTCATTTGTATGTCCAAATCCAAATATATATAGAAGCCAGGCCCAGTTATTGGGGAGAATACCAAAAAATTCACAAATAAATGAAAAAATAATGGTGACCTTGAAGGTGGCTAATTGCATTTCCCATATTTCAGTGGCAGAGGGCTCTGCCAGGCATGTACTTTAACTCCCCCCCGCACCGCCATGGGTTACCTAGGTAGGTAACCTTTTCCTGTTCACACTGCAGGTCCAAACTGAAGACAGTGCATGAGCGGATCCCCTTGGCTGGACTGAGCAAATTGCCCAGCGTCCCTCAGATTGCAAAGGTAAACAACCCCTGCGGGGAAACGGCTTCAGCCATTGCCCAGGGCTGGTCTCTGGGGTAGGGTGCAGGCTCTGCCCTTGGAGCGGGGAGGCCGCTTTTTTTCTACCACCCTTGACTTCGTGGGTGAGAGTGGGGACTGTTGGCAACTGTTCCCGCCTTCCCTTCCCGTCCTCACCACATTCTTGCTGCATGGTCACCCCGCCAAATAGTTCACAGCTAGTTTTGGAGACAAGAGAAATAGGAAGCTGGGTTGGCTGTGGTGAGTGCTGTAGGATTTCAGAGGAAGGGTGAGAGGAATGGCCAGGGAAGGTTTCACAGCTGAGGACAGCACGAAGGGTGATCCAGACCCAGCACTAACTTGAGTAAGGAGCTGTCATGGGCCCGGTGGCTAGAGGGGCCCATGTCTCTGCTTTGAGAACAGGGAACTTGGGAACTGAATCAGGAAAGAGGGGTGTGTGGTCAGCTGGGATGAGATGGATCCTCACTCTGGGAATGGGAATGCTAACAGAATTTGTGCCAAGTACCTTTGGTGGGAGTTGGGGTGGCGCGGCTTTTTGATATTTTTTACTGAGCAGAGCAGAGATAAGTCTCAGGCTGTGGCCCCACCCCTTTATCAGGAAGCCCCAGAAAGGTTATTTAACTGGTGTAGGCATACATTAGTGAGCAGCAGAGCCAGAATTAAATCCCAGACCCCTGACCGCCCCCTGTCTTACGCTGCCATGCTACTTTCTCTTGGTGGGCATGGGAGCCCTGATGTGGCCCCTGAACTATGTGCTTCTTTCTCTACCTAGGCCTTCTGTGATGATGCCGTGGGGCTGAAATTCAACCCTGTCCTATACCCTAAGGTGAGAACCTTCTTTCTTCCCCTTGCCTGTTATCTAGGGCTCTGCAGCTTGGCATGGATTTGCACACCCATGGCTCTCTCTATGGTGGGGAGTTCTCTGCGTCGTGGTAGGGTTTTCTGAGGTCTCCACGAAAAACCTCTCCTTCTCTCCCTGCCCACTCCTTCACAAAATAGTCTACTGGGAATCCATCCTCATTATGCCTGGGTTTCTAGCCTTCCTGGGTAGGTCCCCAGCTTGCTGTGAAGGTGGCAGAGGGTAGTAGTTTGGTAGCTTCTTTAACTCACCAAAGCTGAACCGCTCTGATGCCTGGGCATGATTCTCCCTGTCACTGGGAGCTGGTGCAGATCCACTCTGCCATCATAGAGGGGTAGGGTAAAGAGGGTGAACACAGACCTGGAAATAAAAGGCCAGGCTTCTACTCCCTATTGTCCATGTTTCCTCAGCTCTGAGTACTTACAAGCCCCTGCTGGCCTTAGTTAATAAACTGGCTGGTTCTCAGTTAGCGGTTTTCTTAGGAGTGGCCTGATCTTGACTCCAATTCTGATGTGGGGGTGTGAGTTGGGAGAAGCACAATAATAATGAAACAGATGAACAAATGCACTCAAGAACGATTATGGCATGACAGGACTTAAATCACCCACAGATAGAAAATTGCTTGAAATTGGCCACAGGAAAAGACCCTGTGAACTGACTGCTGCTTCCTGAGCCAGCATGGTCTGGAGGGAGAAAACAGAGGCAGAGCCGCGCTTTTGGGCTTCTGCTGTGGCCAGTGCTGTGGGAGCTGAGGCTTGTGAGCCCGGCTGTGTCCATGCCTCCAGTTCCAACTCTGACAACCAGGGACCATATGATGAGTGTCTGCTGGGGAAGAGAGGCCCCTGTCCTGATGAAACATCCAGAACCCCCTGGAATAAATGCCTGAAATGTCCATGACTGGGTGTGACACACTCAGAAGCATCTGTTTATTCCTCTGCTAAGTAGCAGAGGCCTCTCCTGAAAAGTCCTTCTCCTGGAATATACTTCTTTTTAGCCATTTTAGTGCCGGTAGACACTACCAGTAATATGCTGCATACCAAAGAATGTTTCTGATTATTCAGACTGACCTCTTTTTATAATCTATTATGCAGAATATTTATTGGTTCATTTTAGACCTACATAGTGGTACTATTCATCATAGGGAATTTACACCTGTTCATGATACATCCCACCTCTTTTTTCCCCTTCTTCCCCTCCCCTCAAGCTTTGTTTCCATTTTTTGGTACAAAAGCTTTGTTTCCATTTTTTCCTTCCTCTTTTATAATTAAAGCTGACTGAGTGAAGTTTAACCACGCATTAAAAGCCCGTCATAAAGACTTAACTGAACTATAGGTTTGGCATTTTTTGTTGTCAAATCCTATTCACCGAGAACCCAATGATGTGCATCTACATGTTTCTCTGTGTCACTTGGAAAGCCTCCAGCCCTGGGGATAATGGAAGAGCAGCTGTATTTTCATGTGTTCTATATCTGAAAACATCCATTACTGTTTAAGACCATTTGGGGTGTTAATCTGGTTGAGTGTGTGTGTGTGTGTGTGTGTGTGTGTGTTAGATATTTGAAGTGTTTAGAATGTTGCTTGGAAGGTCTCCATGGCCTGGTGCCTCTTCCTGGCAGGGCAGCTGATCCTCCTGTTGGACTCATTCCAGGCAGGAGTGAAGGGCTCCTGCACAGCCAGCAGGGCTCTTGCTGGGGGTGCTGAGAAGTGTCCATTTCCTCAGGCAGCTGAGAACAGAAATATGCAGTAAGTAGTAAGCTAACTTGGGCCTCATAGTCCAGCCAACAAGTCATGCCTGGTTTGTTCTTTACTAGCAGAACACATGGTTGAATCCCTCCTTTTTATTGCAGAAAGATCCCAGGAGCACCTAACAAGCTGGTCAGCTCTGATTTCCTGGAGTTCATACATGATATGATGATTATGACGATGATGATGATGATGATAGTTGCTCTGTGCTCAGTATTTTATGTGACTGGTCTCACTGAATTTTCATAGCTACCCATTTCCATTTAACTGAGGAAGGAACTGAAGTCTAGAGAAATTAAGTGTCTCACTCAAAGCTACATGGGTAAAAGGAGCAAATTCAGAGCTAGAATTTATTTATTTATTTTTACCCCAAACATGAGCTCTGTGAGGCATTCTAGTTAGCAACAATGGCCAGGTTTCTTTTTTCTCTTTGCATACCTTACTAGGTATGTTCCTCTTTAGAGGCTGTGCGTTTTATGGATAAAGGGATTAAGTCTGGACAGGAGCAGTGACCTCACATTTATACTTCTGAGAAGAGATGGAATTAGAACTAGAACCATCCTTGCTGGCCGGTTTTGAGGTTCTGGCTTTACTTTTTACACGACAGATAAAATACTGGAGTAAAGTTAGTGCCGTGAGCCTCACTGGGCTCCTTGTGTGCTCAAGCTGTGGCTGGGAATTTGGATCGGAGCAGAATGGATGAGGTGTATGTGTGGGGAGGTGACTACTGCGGAAGGCCTGGTGTTGGGAGCTAGCTAATCTTCAGAGTTGTGTCCTGTCTCTTTCTCTCCCTCATAGGTGTAGTTGTCTCTTACTGGGAACACACTCTATACCCAAGTGGGGTGCTTCTTTTTCATTTGCTTCTTTACTTGTCTCCAAATTAGTAACAATCTTGGTTGATTTTCTTCCCCACATTTTCTAGGCCTCTCAAATGATTGTGACCTACGATGAGCATGACGTCAACAACACATTCAAATTTGGGGTCATTTATCAGAAAGCCAGGCAGGTAAGCACCATACTGATCACTGTATCCTATGGTTTCTCACTGAGGACTCCTCATCCTTCTATCCGCAGTGCAGGAATCCTGAACTATGTTCTTAATCTAAACACAACTGTCACATATCAGTATGAATTGGACTGGTGGTGGCAGGATCTTCAAGGAAGGCTACTTTTTACAAAAAGGCTGCAAGTCTTTTAAATGGTAGTATAGTTTTTAGACTCTAGAATCTGATTATTTCTGGTTATCTTCATAAAAATCTAATTCTTCTTGGTTATCTCAGTTTAGATTTATCTATGGGCTGTCAGTCACTAGAAAAATTAAATTAAGTCGAGAGATTGAATTAGCATAAGCTACTCTCTAATTGTCCCATTCTCCCGGCCAGGAATTAGCTTTTTCTCCCTAAACTTCAACAGTGTGCTGTAGCCAAGTGTGCGCATATCCCTAACTCTGAATTCACTGACATCATATTAGTGGCTTGAAATCAGCCGTGTAAGTATTTATACTATGAAAATTGGCAAATACAAATTTCTGTTTCCTGCTTTGTAGAGGCAGTTGTTAGAGCCATTTGTTAAAGAATTTACCAGCATGTCTCAGCTTCCCTCCTCTGCCCCTTGTAGTATTCTGTTAAAGAATTAAGCCTTGGAGTTAGCTGATCAAAATAATGTTTCTCTAAACAGGATATGCATAGGAAAGGTAGAAATCACATTATCATTATGTATAAATGATATAATCCTTTATATAGAAGACCCAAAAGACTCCACCAGAAGACTCCTAGAATCAGTAACCAAATTCAGCAGTATATAGGATATAAAAATCAGCACACAAAAATCAGTGATGTTCCTGTGTATCAATAATGAACTCACAGAGAAAGAAATTAGGAAAACAGCACAATTCATAATAGCAGCAAGAAAAATTAAGTACCTAAGAATTAACCTAACCAAGGAAATGAAAGATATGTATGACAAAAACTATAGTACTCTGAAAAATGAGATCAGAGAGGACATCACAAAATGGAAAGCTGTCCCTTATTCCTGGATAGATAGAGCCAGCATTGTCAAAGTGGCTATACTACCAAAATGGAAATGTAGATTTAATGCAATCCCAATCAAAATATCAATAGCATTCCTCACAGAACTAGAAAAACTATCCTAAAATTTATACAGAACCAGAAGGGACCCAGAATAGCAAAAGTAATCATGGGGAACAAAAACAAAGCAGCAGGCAGGATCACAATCCCAGATTTCAAGTTACACTGCAAGGCTACAATGATTAAAAATGGCATGGTACTGGCACAAAGACAGGCATGCAAGCAATGGAACTGAATAGATGGTGAAGAAACAACCCCAGGCACATGTAGTCATCTGATCTCTGACAAAGGAGCCAAAAGCATATGCTGGAGGGAAAGACAGTCTCTTCAGCAGATAGTGCCAGGGAAACTGGTTATACACACACAGGAGATTGAATCTAGACCCATTCCTATTACCATGTATCCAAACAGAATAAGAATGGATCAAAGACATAAATATTAAAACAGAAACAATCTGCTGAGAAATAGGTAAAACTCTTGAGGACAAAGGCATAAGAAAAGACTTTTTAAATAGAATTCCAGTTGCACGAGAATCAACAAATAGAATTATATCAAGTTAAAAAGCTTCTGCACAGCAAAGGAAACAATCAGTAGAGGGAAGAGACAACATACAGAATGAGAGAAAATTTTGCCTACCTATTCCTCTAACAGAGGACTAATGCCTAGAATATATAATGAATTCAAAAGAATCAAACCTGGGCAACTGAAATGAATAGACACTTCTCAGAAGTACAAATGGCCAATTAATACATGAAAAAATACTCAACGTCTCTGGCCACGAGAGAAATGCAACATCTTACTCCAGAAAGAATGGCTATCATCAAAAAAATCAAACGCTTAGAAGTACAAATGGCCAATTAATACATGAAAAAATACTCAACGTCTCTGGCCACGAGAGAAATGCAACATCTTACTCCAGAAAGAATGGCTATCATCAAAAAACACAAACGCTAACAAGGGCCGGGGATTTAGCTCAGCGGTTCGGTGGCCTGCCTTGCAAGCGCAAGGACCCGAGTTCGATCCCCGGTACAAAAACAAAAACAAAAAAATCAAACAATAACAAATGCTGGTGAGTCTGTGGGGAGAAAGGAGCCCTTCTACATTATTAATAGTAATATAAACTTGGACCACCACTGTGAAAATCAGTGGGAGATTCCTCAAAAAATGAAAACTAGAAATGCCATTCAATCTATCTATTCCCCTTCTTGGTTATCTTCTCAAAAGACTTAGACAACATACCACAATGGTACATGTAAACATATTTATAGCAGTGCACTTTTAATAGCTAAATCTTGAAAGTGGCTTATATATCCAACAACAAATTAGTGGATAAAGAAAATGTACAAAGTGGAGCGCTGTGCCACCTCAAAGGATAAATTTGAGTCATTTTTAGGGAAATGGGCACATCTGTTTTTGTTTTTTGTTTTTGTTTTTTTGAGACAGGATCTCACTATGTAGTTGAGACTGCCCTGGAACTCACTATGTAGCCCAGGCTGGTCTCGAACTCACAGCAATCCTCCTGCCTCAGCCTCCTGAGTGCTGGGATTACAGGTGTGCACCACCACGCCTGGCAGAAATGGGTACATCTTTGAGATCATGTTACATGAAATAAATCAGACACATAAGCTTAAATATCACGTAACTTATATGAGAAACTCAAAGTACAAATAATTTAAAAAACAAAGTAAAAGGCAGTAGGAAGCAGGGAGAAAGATCTTTTGCAAATGCGAAGGAGATCTAGTGATGGAGGTTGTGAGGATGGAAGGGAAAGGGAAATAAAAAGAATTAAAATTTGTTTAGTACATTTGCCCACTCCCATCAACGAATGCAGACATTATGTACTGCAAACATATACTGATAGAAAATATATAAGAAACAAAATAATGTTTCTCAGAGTGTGATCCCATGATATATTTGTCTAACAAGGTATTGTGAGCAGATGACTCAGGAGAGAGGTGTCGGTTACGTAGGAACATTTTAAAGTCTTCTAAGAATCCCCAAGGTGAACAGTTCTTTATAACTTTGTTGAACGAGTGTTTTCCGTATTTATTTGACTGTGAATGTCCCATCTTCCCGATCTCTTTTCCACCACAAACACTAACATTCTAGCAGAGTAGTCAGCTGAACACACCCATGTCTCCTCACCCAGGCGCTATGTTGAATAATCTTCCACACCCATTTCATCTCTGTATTATCCAAGAGCCTAGCATGGTGACTCTGTGTGAATACACTCAGTAGTTGTTATGTGAATTAATGAAGGAATCGAAAATTTTGCCCTGCTAATGACAGGTCACTATTGTTGTCCAATATTATCTGTGTTTTCCTTTTGCATGACAGTGTCTTCCTTGACTAGATAATAGCTGCTTTTCTTGTCCAAAAATATTAGACCACAAGGGGCACACATGTGCTGAAAGACACTAATTTTGTGAAGAATTTAGGATCTGAAAGACTGGATAGATCTTATAATTTAAGGAAGATTATTCAGGTTGTCACTCTAATTATTTTCACACATTACATTTTGATTTTGTACAGCTTGGCTAATATAACCCCTTCCTGATTAAAGTCCTTTGCTTGTGAAATTTACCAAAACAGATCTTATAAGGTGATTACAACCTAGTGTTCCAGCAAAGTTATAATTACTGAGCATTAACCATTCATTCTGAGAAGGAATCTGAGTGTTGCTTATGTACCTGATGCTGCTGTGGGGAAAAAGCCAGGGAGATAAAATCTCCCACCCTTTTAAAAGAAAACTGTGCAGATTATTGTTTTGCAGACCTACAGCTGGGGGACATTTAATAGGAACATTTGTTGCATAAAAGCCCTGTGCTGGCCTTTGGATATAAATAAGCCTCAGCTAACTCTCCAGTTTGTCATGTATTGGGTTAGGCCCTGTGGAAGATACAGTGATGACTAAGACCCCCTCCCTGAATGCGTGGTCAGATCTAAGGCCTGTATAAAAATAATGAGAAAGCTAATAATTCCAGGCTGGGTGTGAATCCTGGGAGAAAGGTGCACACCCCAGAACATTCACTGGATTGTTTTCCTAGTGTGAGATGCAGATTGCAGCTCTCCCACACTTACACCTCAGGACCAGGATGCTTGGCCATAGAACTGCTTGTGAAATTTACCAGTGGCTTGTGAATTGCAGTGGCTCCATGGCATGCTAAAGACCAGGGATCGGTGAACTTTTTCTGTAAAGGGCCAGATAGATTTATTTTGACTTTGTGTACATTGATTGTCACAACTACTTTTCTCTGCCTTTGTAGTGCAGAAGAAGCCACAGGCAGTCTGTGAATGAGTTGGACTGGCTGTGCTCCAATAAATATTTATAAACAGACAGCAGGCCACATGTGGTCTGTGGGCCATAGTTTGCGGACCTCCAGAAGAAAGCACTGTTCTCTGAACTTCAGGCATCCACAGCCAACATTCAAGATCTGTGTTGTAATGTTTGCTCTCCCATAGGGCACTGGTAGCAATTTTTGTCACACCTATGCTATTAACTACTTTCTTTATAAAGTTTTTTAAGAAGTGTATTTATTTAACTAATTAATTTAGTTTATGGCACTGGGGATGGAAACCAGGGCTTCATGCGTTCTAGTCTACCACCGAGCCCCATCTCCTAGTCCCTAGTGCGTTTATTTTTAAAGGAAATTCTAAATTGCTCCTTCAGCTCAGTGTCACTGGCCACAAAATGAAGGTAAGTCTAAAAAAAGTAAAAAAAAAAAAAATTAAAACCAGACTAAAGTTATTTTTTTATCTTTATTGTTTATTGGTGTGTTTTAGGTATACAATACAGCTAACTAAAGTTACTGAAATTGACTAGATTGTGTTGCTTGTAGAAGGCTTGGAATCAGAGATCTGCTCTTGTTATAAAGCAGGCATAAGTGGGTCTGGGAATGCAGCTCAGCAGTAGAGTGCCCCTTCAGCACGAGTGAGGCCCTGGGTTCGGTCTCCAGCATGGAAAGATTATCACTCACTCACTCAATCAGTCAGTAGCTAGCAGGCACTAGGAACCTTTTAAATAATCTCCTGTTGGAGATTTTGTATGATTGGACAAACTGGAGTATTTCTGCGTGCATCCATTCATTTCAGCCCATGGATTTTTGCAGAGCATTCATGTGTCTGTAGAGCCTTCCAACTATTTGCAGATCCTGCTGCTGTGGGCTGAGCTTGTTGATCAGACAGGCTGGTCAGTAGTTTAAGTCTACCACTGTTTGCACAGCCTGCTGTTGTGTTCAGCTCACCTTTCTATTTTAATTGTTAAACTTGC